CAAAATGAAATGATTTACAAATTTCTTTTGTTTCCCCCCTAATTTTCTTTCTTAATCTCAGCATGTTGCTCTTTTTAACAGCTATACACGTATGGATGCTAACGGGACACAATGTCAAATCCAATCGTTTGCCTTTCGCGTCAAAATGAAAATACCTGGGCCTCATTTCATCCTAGACTTTCAGGCATCACTTTGAATTACGAGGATATGTTTTCTGACGCTGTGGTCAAGTTGTTGGAAGCTAAAGCCAAATCTATACGTAGCTCTGTTGGTTATCTGCTTCCATCACTCGTAACCACAACTTCATTTCTGTTAGCCAACACTTACGCGCACTTCCTAAACATTTACACCATGTCTGTCGGCCACCCAGGAACTAGAAAATCCGGCGAGCCCCCAAACTACCCTCTAATATATCTACCTCGTTTTTCAAGCACTAAAACCATTGCCGAGCCGGTGAGCTGCCGAGCCACTCTCTTATATATTTACCACATAGTTAAGGCACTAGAACCACTGCTGAGCCGTCGAGCCACTCTCTAATATATTTACCACGTACTTAAGGCACTAGAACCACTGCCGAGCCAGCAAGCCGCCAAGCCACTCTCTTGGATATTTATGAAGTACTGAAGGCACTAAAACCACTGCCGAGCCACCGAGCCACTGAGCCACTCTCTTATCTATTTACCATGTTCTTAAGGCACTAAAACCACTGCCGAGCCAGTGAGCCGCCGAGCCACTCTCTTATATATTTACTACGAATATAATTCGACAAAAAGACACATACTTCCCTCTAGGTTCAGATATGAAGTACTTACGTGAAGCCTCTCGACGTATCCCTCTTATTAAAGTGCTATCCCCCGTTGTTGTGGCTCCAAGCCGAGCCAGATCTTCGTCAGAGATTTCTCCCCTGCTAATCATGGCTAGTGTTACCTTTTCTTATGGCGTCCACTATAATTTTTGGAATTTACCTCACTTTTAAAATTTCACATCCCTTCAAAGAAAAATACAAAAAAAACCACATATGCTAAATGGAATTAGCTGCTGTTGAATTAAAGCAAAAAGACAACTGAGAAGTTCAAAACCTACCTCGTTCACCTGTGGATTCTCCGCCATCTTGAAAGAAACCATGTGAGTGGTACCCAGGCCCCAAGCTCGGCCCAATGTGAGATTTTTCCCCTCCCCTCTAAACAAATTTTAGCGACAACGAGTAATCTTTAGCCATTGCGTTTCAACCTATCGAGAGCAAATATTTTTAGCGACCATAATTTAAACTTTGGGAGAGCGATTTTAATTTAGCGACAGCGATTTCAACTTTGCAAAAATTAGAGCCTGAGTTTGCTGGCTGTTGCTTGGGAAAATTCCATCTTTCTTCAAATCGAAACGCAATTCTCTCCCATTCAGCTTCTGTTTTAGGGGTTGTTAAGTACTCCTGGCCTAGCGTTGAGTAAATTGCATCACATGTTTCCCTCACAATTGTCTATATCTGCTGGCGTGTTATGCGAAACGAGCACTCCAAGCTTTGGAATTTATCGCCAGTTGCCAGGAATCTGAGCATAACTGCTAAGCGTTCCTCGACTGATATATTGTTGTTGAGGCTGTGGTTTTCGCTGTATCACTGGTCTGATCTTGTTGGCAACAAACTGAAACGGATCTTGCGAGAGGCGAAAAAAACTTTGGTAGCCCTTCTTGTCTTCGAGCATTATCTCCTTTACAAGCTGGTGGAAAGCCTCTCTCTCTTCTCTCCTACGGATCCACTGCCTTGTTGGTTCCTTCTTTTTGCACTTTTGTTTATTTTCTGGTTTTTCGTTGAGCAAACCCAGCAAAATAATAACTGCAGTGGCGCGCTATTAGGGACTTTAATCAGTCAGGACGGCAATGCCATGGAAGACGTCGATTAAAAAATGATTTTCTACTTTTAGTTGGAATTTTGAAAATGGCTGCATGTGTTTACCATCTCATAGGGCACCAGACCTCAAACTCAACATAACGCATAAAAGTAGCGTTGAGTTCCAATTGGAAATTAAAATAATGAGCCGCTTCGGTTTCGCTTCGCAGACAACACAAATTATGGCGATTTCACGTTGTTGTTTTGCAAAGGACGGCTAAGAAATGTGCAAAGTTTTAAAACGCACGTGCTGGACTATTGTTCTGCCAATTAGATCTATTGCTTTTCCACGTTCTCGTTGCCGTAGCCGTCATGGTTTGTTTAAAGTCCCTATTGTTGTTCTGATGTCGCCATCTTAGATTCACAACAAGCAAATCAACCAATCAGCACGCTACATTTCTTCAACTCGCAACAAATGTTTTTGTTGCGAGACAAGTTGATCACGCAAGGTGAAAAAGGAGAAACATAGACCAAAACTTCCAACGAAACAATGTTGCGCGCCACGTTGAGGGTTTTTGTATCTCGTATTTCGCCGCCTTTAGCGAGAGCGATTTCAACTTTGTGAGAACGATTTCAATTTAGTGAGAGTGATTGACATTAATTGCGACAATGAATTTGGTTTTAGCGAGTACGACTAGATTTTAGCGAGTTTTTAAACATTCGGATGACCATAGATATCTTGCAAGGTCATGGAGAAATTTATTTTAAAGGTAAGCTTAATCTTTAACTTATTATGATAAACCTCTAGCTTGGGGGATTTGTTTTCCCTTTGTAGACCATGTGAAGAAACTCTTGAGAATTCTTGCTCTGAAATTTTTAAATAGTTGCATGTTTATGAATGAATAATTTTAGATGGATAAAGGAAAATTCATCACATGGTCAACAATTTTTTATTGGGAAAAAAAAACACCCAATTCAAGCGTAAGCGAGGTCTATTGATCCGGACTTTCTTCTTTTGTCATGGGAAAGAAATGCAATATCTAACAAATTAAAATCAATTGTATCCCAGGTAAAAAATGCACTCCCAACAAAATTAAAGCGCGGTTTTCTGAGATGATGACATATCGTTGAAATCATCTCAAAAACACAAAATTCTGGAAAAGGTCACAAAAGTTGAGATAAAATTAGGAAAAAACACCGACTATAAAAGACTATTTTATTTTAATTAAATACTTTGGCTTAATTAAAGCCATTGTCCTTTTTGACCATTTTAGTTTAACNCTGGGGCTATCAGCACAGTGGAGATAATTCAGCATAAGTTGGACAAAGTGGAAGCTGTGAATTTCAGCAGGGGTAGGCTATCTATCAATAACTGTATTCGAATTTTTTTTATTATTATTTTAGATTGTAGTAAGTTTAAGGTAGACATTGTAGTTACCCAGAAAATGTTATAATGTATTTTATTTTCTCAGGGAAGAAGTTCTTGTCATGTATGACAATGAGAAAGTGGCAAGAGCTGGTATTTTGATGATTATCTCAGCTCTTTCCACTGTTGTTTAATTAAATAATAATAATTAGTCTCAGTATTATGGATTTAAGCTCACAATTAATATTATTAGCTTAAATTACTAGGTGTATTCTTGCAGACAGCACGGTGATTACATTTTAGATGGCAAGGGCCCATCTTTTATGAATAAAAATATGGTTGCAAGATCTCACCCATCTTATTGCTTATTTTCAGAGTTCTTTTCTGGTCTATTAAAAGATTGAATTACACTTACAGCAAGAAATCATCCGTTAGTTAGCAAATGGCTTGCATGGGGTTAATTTTTTTAACCCACCCTAGAGCTAGAGCAAAGGAAAACTTAATTAGGGCTAGGGGTGTAATCTTAACCAAAGTCCTTAATTCTTTTGTTGCAGAGACATATGTCAAACTGAAAATGATGGCAAATTATTGTCACTTAAATGGGCAGAAGAAAATAAAACTGGATGGGCCAAATGGAGAAAAGTTTCTTGAAGTTATCTAGGTATGGTTTTGCATTACATTTTTCAGTTCCATACACTTAATCATGCAGTTGACTTCTAATAAGCTACCACACCTTTGAGACTGAGAGAAAACAACTAAGGGATGTCAGTTAAAGGAGTATATATACAGAACATAGCCAACTACAATAATATTATTAATAATGACTCTCCTTTTAATTTGATCCTGTCTTCTACTCCAACTTGGCAATATTAAATCATATTACAACCTTCTTAATGACTAAGCACATGACATGTTACCAGTACTAGTGAATATCGTAAATGTCCCATATGTCTGACTTGATAATCCTTGAGGAAGCAATTCTGCCACTGTTCCCCATTTCAATGATCATAAAAATTAGTACAACTTTTAAGGGTTCAATAATTTTAGCAGGCCAAAAACTGTCTGAGAAGCTAACAGTTAAGGTAGTTCACAGGTCCTCATTAAAAATCCTGATGAGTAATATGATAATTTATATCCTCTTAGATGATGGCAATAATGCCTCTGTATCTGTATCACCATAAACACTGACAGAGAAGCTGCACCTTTACAAGGGTAATTTTCATAACATTTCAGGGTGCAGCTTAACTGCTGATTTTTACAGTATATTGAAAAAGAATTTTAATGTGTGTTCATTTGTATTTACAGAAAAATAGGAAATTTTGAGTGGAATCAAACAAAAGGGACCTTTTGTAAGGGCAGATCAGGTGGGAAAGGAAATGCCACTTCCTCAAAGGCACATAGTGCCTCACAGTCTCCACCTGTAACACTGGAACAAGAGGATTTAAACTCAACGGCATACCCTGCCTCCATTTTACCACCACCAACACCACTTACAGAAACCAGCACAGAGTTAGATCTAGAACTGCCAAAGGGAACACCACCACAACCCATACCTCCTCAAGCACTGCACAGAAGACCACCACTGCCACAATTAACACCACCAACTTCTTGAACCTTAACTCCACAAGTTATTGACCACACTTATCCAACCTTGTCACAGTCAACTACCACATGCACCACTAAAGGAAGGAAAAAGAAAAAATCCCAACCATTGCCGACTTTAATATCGTGAGAGACTGGGGCGAATTTTGCCAATGCAGGCCAGGAAAGTTAAAAGTTATTCTGAACATATAAGAGTGGCAAGTTTCGTATCCTGAGAAAACCTTTGTTTGCAGACATGAATACCTCCAAGAAAGTAGATTCAAAGGGGCTAGATAGGGTAGCAGTGAAATTGAAGGATGCTAATTTAGCTGACTGGAGCCTAGGAGATTGAAAATCTGTGTTGACAGAGATGAAACTGAAGGATGCCGGAACGAAGAAGGAGCCTCTCGATCGGCTGCTTCCATTTGCCAGTGACAACAATCTGTTAGAAAAGAGACTTAAAGAGGTAAAAAAGATTTGTTTTTCAAACAAGTATGGATCCAACTGAAATACCTCCACCATTGTCTGTGTGGAGTACAGACCAATCGCTTTTTCCCCTAG